GTGGCATTCGTGCATTCCAAAGAGTAGTTTAATAAACCGAAAAGTGCATTCTCGTTTCGGATTACCTGTTCTGTGTGTTTATTTGCGATTGTTTTTCCTTTAATTTAACTATTTCGGCTATCTAATATGCCATCGATGTTACCAAAGAGCAGAGCCCTTATTACCAAGTGCTAGTGAACCTGTGCCACAACATCCTGAGAGGATCATACTGCCAAATTATTCAAGAACACCTGATACACATTCACGCTGCATATTGTGTATATACCTACATGTGATATACAACTAAATACAATAAACAATATGATACAACTATGTGAAAAATAGTCAGTAAATAAGAAGCAAAACTACAGTTTTTATTTTATTCATGATACCTACCTAACCAAGTTTTTCCTAATAATTATTCTTTAAATTCGCACCGAATAAAATGAATTAGTTGTAATATTAATTCACTTCATACTGAGTTTATATTAAATTCATAGGTTGACCTATGTTTCATTGAATATTAAACATAACCTCAAAAAAAATTTAGATTTCCTAATAATTTAAGTTCTCAGAAGTGTCCGTTAATAATCTTTGTTTTTACAGTCATTTACTTACGATTTTGAACCTAGAAAATAATATTTCATGATTGTTGGTTCTTAGGCTAACTATGTATGGACGCTGAACAATGTCCTTTGAGGAGCTGGCGAACAAAGCGGTATAATTACGCATCTGGTCAAACTACTTTTTTTACAGTTTTTTGGCCCATTGAAATATTAAAAAAACCTATTAAAGCCGCCTAAAACAGTGTAAATATTACTAAATTTATTAATTAAAAACCGTTAAAAGCTCACTGTAGGTATGACATTCAGTTTTGTACAGCTCCTGTAAAATTTAATTTTATGTAATCATACCGTTTTGTTCGCCAGCTCCTCAAATGATACATCACGCGGACGCTTGCTTACCAGTGCCAGTGTAAGCTAAGCTGAGACCTATGTTTCTTAACAACAATGCGACTTCTACAAGGACATTGCCACACAGAAGACAATGGAATGGCGAACATTACGAATTTCAGCTGGGGAAATAAGTACGAAACAAAATTAACAATTCAATTCACTTGAAAGGCACTCCTTTACACTTCAATTCAAATCGAAAATTGAATAGATTGTTATAGTGCCCTTTTTAGAAATCTTTTCCCTTTCTGTCCCAAGAGAGACAGAACTATGAATTAATAGTAGATTGTTTACTAAGGGAGCAAAGAAATATTTCAAGGGCGAGAGCGTTTTTTGAATCAAGTGGAATTCAAAGTACATACTTATTACACTAAGTACACAGTACTTTTTATCGCCATTATGTGAAGATAAGTAAATACATAACATTTTTAGCGTCCGTCCATACTTTCATTTTTCTACTTGAGGAAGGCACACATTTTTTTTATAAAACCAAGTAAACTCCGAATTTATGTAAATATTTATGAAATGAAATGTGAAATGGCGGAATGTATTTTTATTTTTTCACAAACTTTTTTTATTTGACAAGCTCTCGGTAAGTTTTCATACAGCCTGTGACTTGTTCATAAGATGTTCGTGATTGATCTCTTTGTTAATTGCAACTTTTACTAACAACATCCACCTTGCTAATTCTAATCATTTTTAGTTCCTAGGGATTGAAACGTTATTTTGGTCCCTTCAAACAGAGAATAAACTAGCTCTTTTTGAATAGATATGATAAAAATTTAATTTTTCATGTACCTATTCAAATTGAACTCTATATACATACAGAATAATAAGACCAGAAAAGGATTCTTTCCGAATAAAAGTATTAAATAAACGAACAAAAAAGCTTCATCAGATAACGGACCTCACTATTTAATAGGGTTAGAGAGAAAGCTACAATCGGTAACCAAGCACGACCCCCTTGTCGATCCCTTATTTATGGGATTATTTTTGAACAAAATTCGTTCGATATTGTGATACCTACTTTACTCCTTTATAACTTTGATTTAATTACTTAGAAATAAAATTATATAAGCTCTCGTTTAGACTGAAAATTTTATTTCGTGCGTTGAACGAAGCAATCTGTCGGGAGTAAAAAACTTGAACCTAACCTACGTAAAAATTTTTTCACTAAGCCATTTAAAATGCTTTTAAGCACTAATAAAGTTTGATACTGTTAGTGCAGGCGAGTAGTATACTTAGTTGAATGCGATCTGCGATGCGTTGAAATTTATGTAAAATGAAATAGAGTAGTAGGTTATAAATAACCTTTCAATATTATCCGAAACTTATTATGAAAAACGTTAAAAAAATCTTATTCCATAACCCAAAGTAGAAGATCAAAGCTAGCCTTTGCCTCCTGTCTTGTTTAGTTACTTTGGTTAAATGGTTTCAATTGGGTATTTGCTTTTTTTAAATCATAAAACCACAAACTAAATAAAGATTGTGAATTGATACGGAAATCAGGCGATATACGAGGCGTATCCAGAAAGTAAGTGTACTGAGGCTCTCACGGTGGAATGAATTTTATTTTCGACATGTTGGCTACACTTACGTGTAGCCTGACTCTTCCTCTCCATAATGAGACTAGTTCAAGGTCAGTACGTTGAGGAGTGTCGACACAACCATACTTTACGTGGAAAATGTAAATCCAATCTCCCGCCAAGTGCGAAATACGCAGCGTCATCCGTTATCTCGTTTGGAAGGGAAACTGTTGAGGTTTATAATGAGGTGAAAACTGCATTTGGTGATATAGCTATAAATCGTACGAAGGTGTACAAGTTGTGTCGCGAGTTTAAAAACGGTCGTACGTCTATGCATGATGATGGGAGGAGCGGAAGGCTGACGAAATTGTGTGACGAAACGTTCGCAGATTGACTGTGGATGAATTTTCTGCGATGATCGACATCGACTTCTGCGATGTTTCCGGAAATCTCCAAGGTCTCTACTACACAAAACCATCACAGAAACCCTCGGATATCGGAAACTGTCCGCGAGGTGGGTCCCAAAACAACTGACAGACCAACACAAGTTGAATTGAGTGAAAATCCGGACAAGAGTTTTTGAGCCGCTGTAAACTCCATGGAGATGAATTCCTTCGGATTATTATCTCTTTACGTCCCTGAAGCTGCACATGGATGGAAAGAGGTTTTCAACCGACGAGGAGGTAAAGGAGGAGGTAGAGAAGTGGACAAAAGGGTTGGCGGTAAACTACTTCGAGGAAGGCATCAAAAAGTTGATACCTCGCTTCACCACTTGCATTGAGAGGAATGGCGACTGTCTAAAAATAGCTTATATTATGTACTACGGAAACCGTGTAATATTCTTGTTTCAATAAAAAAAAATATATTAAAAAAGTCGTTCGTTATAATTCCTATTATCAACAAACAGGTCCTCAACAAGAGTAATTTAAATATGTGCTTTCAATTCCAAGGTTATTCAAAATAATAACGCATAATAAACGCATTAAAAAATTAAGATAAAGAATCTCTTTCTATAAATTGAACATTGTTACCTTATTAGGAACACTAATGGGCGCAATTATTTCATCATTAATCTATAATTATTTTAATGAGGTTATCAATTGCCATCAACATCATCTTTAAAACTTAAAGATCGCTGTGGTATTTCCAATGGTTGGTTATTCCAAATACCTACATTGGAATAACCAAGAGCAACAAGAGATATTTCTGAAAGCAGTCTGCATACATTAAAAGGTGAGGTACCAGTATATACGTAGCAGTGTGTGCGTCATATCAAAACGAATCATTTTCATATTATACCCCGCTGGTGAGGTGAAACATCCCTATGGAGGGCATTGAAGAAAGGTAATTAGGAAAGTGACCTGGAGGACCTTGGAGTCCCGAACATGATGTCGAAAACCATTTTAGCAACAGATCCCAAAAAAATTTACTCCTTTATTGCTCTTACCGAGTGTACTAACCAATGCACGTTTGAACAACTCATTGTTTGTGTTTGCTGCGCCATCAAGCACCTCTCTAATTGCGAGTGGCATGAATGGCAGAGGTAGGCCTACTGACACAAACATTAATGCCTTTGCAATTACATATCAACGTTTTTCTACTGTTAAAGCAGAGGCCCGGGCACGAGTTTTAACTGCCTCATATGTTATCACATCGTCAAAGTTTCTATGAAAACTAAGCTGCGCATATCGGATGTAAGAAGAAACTGGCTTTTTTCCAGGCAAAATTTGATGATGATGATACAATTAACGAGCTGTCAAAATTAGTGCTTGTACCTCTTTTTATTGTTTATTAATAATTGTTTATAACTTGTGCCAGCGTTAATCCCTTTTTGAACTAAATATGTACTTATAAAAGAGAAACAAATGAGCAATATGACCTTTGCGTAAAAAAATACAACCATTAATATCCGACGTATGTACGCACTTCCGAGGAAGTCTCGGAAGGTCGACCACCTCCACCTTTTAAATTGAGTTATACATTCATTGAATTTATGTGAAAACGATTAACTAAAGCGGTATCGTACTATTTCTTTAAACTGTGTTATTCTTATTCATCGATATCGATGTATTTTTTATTCCGATGACGAGACAAAATACTATGCATTTTTAAAATAGATAAAGAAAGACATGGACACTATTTGTAGTTCCCAGATAGAGGTATTGTGATTTAAATGATTATAAAATTATTTTATTGTAATAATAAGGTATGATTTTTTTCTTAAATTTATTGAAATTTATGCTGTAACATTTGTTGATTTCGCTGTTTTTATTTAGCTAGCTTTGATAAAGAATTCGCTTAAATATTTTGACCATCGGAAATCATTGCAGCTGATTCTAGCCAATTACATTTTTAATTAACCAAATGCTAAGTCCCAAAAAATATTTAAATATAATTGGTAATTATAAAAATAGGATTGGCGTAATGTCAATTTGAAAATCATAAACTGCCAAAAACTATCGATGTCGATTATTGCTTTGTAACGTTCTTATTAATCTTGCATCTTATCACAGGTAATGCAATGAATTTATTAAATTAATAAGCCAGTTTAACTGTGGCTTGTCTTAGTTTGTACAATGCGGGGCAAGAGTAGAGTCGCCATGCGCGTAGCTGCTCTAACGATTATAAGGTGAGAATGTTTACGTGATTGTTGGTGAATTCAAATTTCAAAAACGTATCGTGTTATAATGGGTTAGTAAAAAATACAGTTCAAAAGTGATGTGCGTAGAAACTATAGCCACTTACTAATATTTCAAGGTAAACATTAAAATTCAAAAATGTTTTAATTGCAAATAATTACTCTCGGTTAAATCAATAATAATCGACATTGTAAAACTGTATTTCAATTAGTTTCAACTAGTTAGAAATAAATCGTAAAACTGATTATTATTAAAGATTTACTGAGTATTTTATTCATACTCAACTTTTTTTCAACATCAGCTACTAGTAAAAATATACAAAGTAACCGAAACTTCGCAAAACGATAAATAGATATTAAATTTTATTTACAACGACTTAGTTATATAGCGTGAATTTTGAGTTACCTAAGAAATTTTACTAGCTAATTCAGACCACGATTCTGGTTATATTTCCACAAAATAAAATCTTTAATTGATTTTTTCGAATAGTGTCCCTAAGTCAATTCAATAATTATGCAACCTTAAAAATTTTGTTTGTCATAAATTGATTCAAATAAAGCTACTTTTAGAATGTAATAATTTCATTATAGCTATGTCATTTAGAAATTTGCGCGGTTTTGGATATTTTGTAAACAATATAAATCAGTATTTTTGTATGGGGGTGTAGTAAGTTTACTCTGTATATTGGTTCCCACTATTTTTATTTACACGATATTTAAGTTTCTCAGGTTACTAAAAATTTAGACTGAAAATCAAATCGTTGCTTATTAACAAAGGAAAGGAGGATCTTAAACAAAATTGAGAATTTTGAATGCTAGTTATCAATTAAATAACAATCAAGTTTATTATTCACTCCATTCACTTCCCTATATACAAAGTTACTCTATGATTCACAGTAAGCCTTATTCTGGGTTCAGGTTCACTAAATATACACTTAGTTTATGTACTAACACATAAGGTTAACTTCCTTGCATCTTTCATCACAACATTAGCAACTTCTTAGCTACTCACAAATTTTCAAAATGTAATTATTACCCATTTTTAGGGTTCCGTAGTCTTGACAAGGAACCCTTATAGTTTCGTCATGTCCGGCTGTCCGCCCCGGTTTTGCTTTGAATAAAATTTTGAAAAATATAAATTTAGGGTAACTCCTCTACATGTAACCTGAGGATGACTTTTTTCATCATCTACCCCATCGTGTGGAATATTGTTGAATAGTTCCTTTTAAATTACTTTGGGGTTCTTAAGAATATTTTTTGATTTAGAGATTTGTTTGCAAAATATTGAACTTTAAAGTGCTAATTTTTGTTCGAGTAGGGCGTCCACCCCCTCTCAAAGCTAAACTGTTGGCTTGAAAACCCAATAATAGTGCTATATATGAACTTTTAAGGAAAACTATAACTGTCAAGATAGATTTCTTAGGTAAAGAGTAATTGTCCTTCACCTTTGGTTAAAGAAAATTTCTTTCCTATTAAAATTCCTTAGAAAAATACATTGATAGTGACATAAATGAAGTTATTGTAGCGTAAAACCTTGCACTGCAACAGATATTCAGAATTAATTTTAAAAATAAATATCAGATGCATCCGCATACGCATACCTGTATTAATAATTCAGCTCACATTTAAGATTGAGACATCGTAAATTATACATACATACCTACGAAATAGCAAAGTATATTTTCTAATTCATTAAAGTAACCACTGTTGATTAAAATTATAATATAATTAACACTAATATATCAAACAAATCACGTTTCTTAAGAATGGTATAAGTTCATTTATTTGTAAACAACCAAATACATATCGAGTGTTTACGGAAATACTGGTCTAAAAGCGAAACATAAAGTGAATTCCTAAACATAAATAACATCACAAATGATAATTATCATTAGACATTAGAATATAAAATACCTACTACCTGTACTGAGTCATCAATCCCTCAATCCAAAAGAAACAACATGTCACTCCAGCCATCCCTATCTTTTTATGCTATTCCGATCACGTGGAGCTTTGCAACATTACTCACAAACAGAACATTAAAATACAATCATAAAAACTATTTTAATAAAAATAAGAACAGATTTCATATAAAAACAAAACAGTAAAAGTTAAAATTAGAACTAATACATTTTCTTAACTTAAGTCTAAAGTACCTTTTCAAATTAATGTTTGGTTTCGGTACCATGCCGACCCCATACCATACCATATCACCACCATAACAAAGTAAATGGAAACAGATTTATCAGACATGCATGGCACCGACTTCAAATATAAATTTGACTTTAGACTAAAGTAAAGAAAATATTTATTACTTAATGTTTGATAGTTTTTTTTTTTATATCAAGTCGGTTTTTATTTTAGTTAAAAAAGTTTATATTTCACTTTTAAAAAAATAAAGCAACATTAACTTACTAAATACAGATGTCTGGCCTGCAATTTCTCTCTCTAATTTCGTAAAATAGCAAAACACGATTTGTGAAGAGTTCGTATATGAGGAGTTCCGTTGTTCATCTCCAAAAATATTTATCAGATCTTTACCAAATGAATATGAGGCTACCTCACTAGCAAATTTTACCAAACCCAAAAAAAAAGTTGGTCTACAAAACTTGGAGGTATGCAGGAACAACATTAAAAAATATTATGACGATATGAGTACCTCCTCAATTTTGAACTCGGTTAAAAAGGTAGTTTAATATCAAGAGACATGTGCTCTAATTTCAGCAGGAAATTAGCCTTACCAATTGTGAGTCCTAATCATTCTTGACCAGTTTTTTTTTATTTCTTACTTAGTTAGTCCTTGATAACACGACCCTTGAGACGTAGCTATAATATTATTTCGTAATGTCTTACTAAGGATACCCACTCAGATAATGATCCAGTAATGACATCTAGTTCAATGTTTAAATGTATTAGCCGCTTAACCTTCTAAGTATGGGTCAATTTAATAATCCCACGAATTAAAAATTAAACAGAAGGATAACTAATATTATAAACATTAATAATTACGATTTATTCATTTAATAATTTAGATTAGTTACTGCAGCAATTTCCAAGTTTACTATCGAGTAGTAAATGTTAGGATGTGTGACTAACGTTTGAGTAATTAATTAAAAACAGTAATCGATACCTTGTTCTCACGCTTTTTCAGGGTCGTATTAATCTCATTATTGATAAACACTGTTGCCAACTATGTAACTTTATTTAAATAAATCAAAAACTCGGTTACTTCACGTCACTGCATAAGTATCAATAATGAAGTAAAATATAAGGTGCTCAATTAAAGTAAGTAAATTTTTATTGGTTTTTGGGGTTCCGCACCTCAAACTAAATAAATAAATAAATATTTCCAACACTCACACCCTAGCCTAGCTCCAAAGTAAGCATTGTAAGGCTTGTGTTATGGGATACTAGGGTAACGAATAGAATACATATACTGTACATATATGTATAAGCATATTTATATGGAATTACATATTAAAAATCCATGGCTGGAGTACAAATGCTCGTATTCATCACACAAACATCTGTCCCCACCGGGATTCGAACCCGGGACCTCTCGAGTCGGCGACATGAATCCTGGCGTACACACCACTAGGCCACGGAGGTAGTCAAAAAAAAATAGAAAAACGGAATTCTTAATAGACCACTTTTTTGTTCGTCTGTCAAGACTCTTTATTTAGGGAACGCGTGGAGGTATCACATTGAAATTTCAACCTTTTTACTCTACAATTAATTTAGTTTTGTTACAGTTTATTTTAGTCTACAGTCCTTTGAAGCAGTAAAAATCAAAGTTCTAAGTTATTGTAAAAAAAAGATACGGCCGTTTATGTTGCGTATCTACAAAGGAGGTGTTTAATTTTGTGTGGGAAAATGCCGTTAAACGTGTGCGGTGTGCATTAAAAAATAGCTTAATTAAGCCCTGGCCCTATGATATACGAATCTTTCGAAAAAAAGATATTTATGTAGGAAGTGATTTAAATATTCAATTGATTGACTTTGACACTTCGATTGTGTTACTGTCAATTTGTCAACATCATCACCATCATGTCAGCCGTACGACGCCAACTGCTGAGCACAGGCCTCCCCCAAGGATCTCCACACCGGACCGACCGGTCCTGCGCCACTCCATCCATCCATTCATTGGCTTCCCGCGACCTTCACAAGATCGTTGGTCCACCTTGTAGGGGGCCTGCCTACTGAGCGTCGTCCGATGCGTGGTTGCCATTCTAGAACTTTCCACCCCACAGGCCATCGGTTCTTCTAGCTACGTGTTCCGCCCACTACCACTTTAGCAGAGCATTCCTTCGAGCGATATTGGTTATTTTGGTTCTCCTACGGATTTCCTTATTTCTGATTCTATTGGTATCAGTAACAGGTAATCGGTGTTGGGTGTAAAATAAAATTTCGGTTCAAAAACCAACACAACAATTCGGAATCCACGTTCAAAACTGAGGGAATATAATAAATATGACACAAAGAATAACTATCAAACAGACATTTGCTATAGTCTGTCAAACTGACAGTTATAGTTTTTTATTAACGGCTTTGGACCTATAGTGTTGGCTCCTTGAACTGCCAGGCTTATCAAATTGTTTTGTTTCCTACAAAAAAAAAACTAAAAGGTGCATAATTTTTAAATAAATATTTATGAAATATACGTAATTTATAATATTTTTTCGTTATCCGTACAGGGTCTTGGCATTTTTGTAAACATCTTCTTTGTACGGAACTTTCGGTGGGTGAGTCCGACTCACACTTCTCCGGTCTTCTTAACTTCTTTTAATGTATTTTTGATGCAAAATCGCTACGTGGCAACTGTTAAAGTACATTAGTTATTGATCTTATTTGCATACCTGATTTGACACAACAACCGCTAACACAAGCGGGAATTCCGCTATGCCCACCTCTCTTCTTACTTCATTATTATGTAAAATTACAATATAAACTACATTATAATGTAGACTATTGCTGGTTACTGGTCTGTAATTTATAAAATTTATTGCATCTATGCATATAATTTGTATTTGCATGTTTTAAATAACTATTAATTAGTTAAGGTAAGTTAAATTATAAATAAATATTAATATTGAATACAGATAAACGTTTAAGCAAAGTAAAATTATAAAATAACGAAAAAAAAATCTAGCACTAAGGGTATCGAGCATAATAGCTTCCGGTAATTGGATAGAAAGTTATATTTACTAATTTTGCAACATAAATATGAAGAATTTGATGAAATTACGTTTTGTTTTTACCTCACTACTTTAGTCACCTTACTCAACATATTTTTCGAAACACAAAAAGTATCCCCACGACAATGGCTAACTAGAGCCAAGGTCCGAGTCTCAAAGATGCCCTCTTGTAGAGCTGACCCCCTCAGGTTCGAGTGGTCTAGAGGCTCTGAACGGAGGAAACTCCTGAAGGGAGGAATATGCTGGTATACCTCTAGAGTCACTCGCCAATTCTCAACTAAAAGTCCCTTTAGGATCTCGCCGTCCCCAAATTTGGTCACGTTGTAAAGTTCATCTGCGACCAATAGCATACACATTTAAAAAAAACGGGTGCGTGTACTTATGTAGGCGCGTGAGAAGTTATCCTTCTTTGGCATCGTTTAAAATTAGTTTTTAATTGCATGCAAATAATTAATTACAATAAATTAATAAAAAGTCTGGAAAAGGACACAGTCAATAAAGTTCAGTTTTAATTTGAAAAAATAAATAAATAATCAAAATATTCAATTAAAATCGCTACTGAATATAATTTATTAGAACATATGTGATTTGCACTTGTATGAAACTCAAACACGTATTCCGAATATACAAACTAGAAACATGTGGATAAATATTATAAATATGAATACCTATAACTGTTACTTTATTACAAAAAATAAAGATGTGGTTTTTGGTTCTACTACACCAATGGTTAAGAGATGGCTCTGTAGTCTCCTGAATCGCGCTTTGGTTCCGTTGTTCCAGATTAATAAATACTTTTGATAGGCCTTCACAATGCAGTCGTTAGCACCCACTAAATAGAGATTCTATTTTGTTGGTAGATTTTCTTAATGTGCGGTAAACACAAAAGAACGCATGAAGTTGGCTAAAGCGACCAACTTCATGGTGTTAAAATTTTGTGTTACAGTGATGCGCGCGCATCTTAAAATTTCACTCTCATCATTTTTTCATAACGCGCCTAAAGAAGTATAACTTCAAAAAGTTTGATATGAATTTGGTGTAAGTATAATTAATTAATGAGCACAATATGAGGACCTTAAAAATATTAAAATGATAAAATCTTCGCGATATAATCATATTTAATAATATAAACTTTCCTTTGACAATGTTATGGAAAATAATAGGACAGTCAAAGTCGTGAACCACTCGTGAACAGAAGTTGTATCTAAATTCATAATATACCACTCCGTTTCTATCTCAAAGGTTGACAAAATCATGAAAGCCAACCGAGACAGTGACGGTCTTTGTGAAGTCCTTAAACTGGATTTCAAGAATATAAATTATATTTCATTTGAAATGTTATGATTATGTGGGTCAAAACTGCTTTTCAATAGAACAATACAGAGGAAACTCTTGTCTCTACATTTGTACCTATAGATCAAATATTTTTATGTCATAAAATATATAAACAATCAAAGAAGACATTTACATTATTTATTTAAGCCTTAGAGAAATTAGGTTAAGCATTTGAGATAATCATCTCGTGAACTCGATAAAACTGAAACAGACTTTGTTAACAAACATAATAAAAGCAAAACGTTTTCCTTAACATATTTTTAAAAAATTTGCTGCCATTTAAATAAATAAATGACAGTAAGTAGTATTTGAAACTACTACTACGAAATTTCTAAACACGTTAATTTGTAGGCACGTTAAATAGAGATCAATTGACCCTTTCCTTTGCCTTAGTTTATAGGATAAATCCAAACTTTTATCGGTCAACCTCATCATTCCAATATACCTATATTAAGCAAACAAGATAAACGTATTCTTTGAACTACTTCTTATTTTGAAGGAAATATATAAAAATGTATGTTCCGACTACGGTGCCACATTATGTTTAATCAAGGAAATCTATGTAACCTTCTTATTTATAGGCTATCTATCCTTTCTTAGTTCCGTTATCCGTGATATCGATCGTGACATTTAGAAAAAAATGAGCTCTGCGAAAACTCCACCAATTATGCAAACGGCCGATCTGACACAGGCACTTTGCTAATAGGACTCCCAATTTTCACATCTCCACAGCCCTATCTGTTAGATAAATTGGACAATTTTCGGAAGATTTATGCACGATAACTTTGCCGGAATACTTATATCACGTACAAATAAATACAGCGTTACATACACATGGTAATTTTATAAGTAACTGCAAATAGTAATATTTTCTCGATAGGTTTTCTGATTGTGGGTAATTAATGGCAAATCGATTTGAATTAAAATTATTTGAGCAAAAAACTTATTTTTGAAAAATATATTTTTAAATCGCATTACTTTCATAAAATGTATTTATTCGGGGAAGTTTCTTTTGTAAAGGATACAAAGGCACATATTTAAATGATCATGAAAAATAGTTATGGATTCACAACAAAAAACAGTTAGTAACCTAACCTAACTATTATGTTAAAAAATTGTAATTTAAGGTGATCATTTATAATTTTCTTGAGGATTAATTTAAATATTTCCCTAATACAACTACTTACTTGTTCAACCTAATATTCAAGAGAACCATACGACATATCATCATAAATCACTATATTATATGACTGTTAGGAATAGTGATCTGGGAAATGAAGCTTCTTATAAAGCACTTATTCACTTGTTACAGTCTGCTGAGCTTGGTGCAAGGGTCAAGCGAGCCAGACCTATATAGAGGTCTAAGTAATTACACCTTTTCTGAAGATTTCATGTTTGGAGTCGCTACTGCTGCTTTCCAAATTGAAGGAGGTTGGAATGAAGGAGGTAATCATGGACAATATAAAGGACTGCTTAGCTGAACTTCATCAGTGCGAGACGAACATTTACGTTGACTTATCATTTTTTTTCTAAACATTTCTCTAACGCTGACGACAACCATAATAATGAGAGAATATATATCATTCTTTACAAAACCCATGTCTTTGTTCCCAAAATTGAGCAACAAAAAACGTCGCAGCACAACTTATCTTAACCTTCATGCTCTCCAATCTCCTTACAAAGGAGTGCTAACTCAATTCCATTACCATGAAAACTGTCATTTAGATCTTAGTGCTTTGATAAGATTAGGGGACATTATTACATAAAACTAACTGGTTTAAAATATTAAATATATTTACATGCAGGTAGAGGCGAGAGTATTTGGGACACATATTTGCACAAACATCCAAATTTCACATTAGATCGTTCTAATGGCGACGTCGCAGCCGATTCTTATCATAAATATGAAGAAGACATAGTTATGGTGCAGAGTCTTGGAGTCAAATACTATCGACTGTCTATGTCATGGACAAGGTAAGTTTTATATTATGATAATATTTATCTTGTTAGCACTATATTTAATCTACTGTTAACCTCTTTTACGATATTGTGAAACAATCATATAAAACCGGCCAAGTACGTGTCGTACCACGCGCAGTGTAGGCTTCGGTGGTTGTCTGTAGTTACCACAATATATTCGAGCGAGAGTCTTTATTTTCTATATCGGAAATTAGAGAAACCAATCAATATCAATCTATCTATCGCAATTAAAATAACTTAATCAAAGTCAAATTACGTCTCAAAATCAATTCGATATTAATTTGTTTTTAAATACTAATAAAAATACGGTTGATTTTTTTTGTTTTCTCCCTGGCGGTGGAGGGGGTTTGAAATTCTCAAGTAACCCTGCTGTAAAGATATGTCAGACTCTTACTGACTAAACACGACCGTAGTTCATGCTTATGGCCAGAAGCTTACAAGCTTCATCTGAAGCGATCATCCCATGAGAAGGGGTAACGACAGCACGACTCAGAAGACGTTGCCATCGGTACTCGCGGTAGCGTTGTGGAACTAACGATATTTTATTGTGGTATTTAATTTTTTTTTTATAAATTTTATTGCAATGCAAGGTTTTACGCTATAATAAAAGTAAATACTTCATCATGTCACTATTAATATTTTCTAAGAAGAAATTTTCTTTTATTAAAACTAAAGTTGAACGACAATTACTCTTAAACTAACAAATCTGTTTTTACCGTTATAATTTTTACGTTTTTCAAGCCAGTAGTTAAGCTTTTAGAAGAGCCCCCCCCCCTGCTTGAACAGAAATTAGTACTATAAAGTTCAATATTTCGCAAACGGATCCCTAAATCGAAAACTTGTCTTAGGAACCTCTAAGTAATTTTAAAAGGACCTATTCAACGATATTCCACACGATGGGGTAGATGATGAAACACAATGATCATCCCCAGGTTACATGTACTAAAAAAAAAATCGAAATTTTATTCTACCATTTTGTCGGCGTAATCGATATACATATCCACACAAAATTACAGTTCTCTAGTAGTAATACTCTCCAAGCAAAACTGGGTACGGATAGACGGATATGACGGAACTATAAGGGTGCACGGAACCCTGAATAACTTAGCTTTTTACATCTTTCAATAAAAATGCATACTTATCAGTTATTTTGACTGATCTTATATTTATATTTTGAATCTCGCTGTATTTTTCTCTAACTTGCAGCAGATGTCAAAAGAGTATTAAAGTTTGTTAACTGTTTCAGTATAAAAATCATTGAAAAATTCTATAAACAGTTTCTCCAACTTCTAAAAAAAGCTATGCTAATTGTAGACAGTGATGATATTGGCAAAAAATCCATCTTAAAAAAGAAATGTCTAACCGTCGAATTCCGGATTATATTTCCATTCAGATTGAAATAAAGACATACATAGCCGATTTTAATCAAATTTGCACGCCGTGTGCAGTTTGACCCAACTTGAAAGATAGGATAGCTTACATCTCAATTTATAGTCGCAATATTATTATATTGCAAATTATTACTTTTAGGCGGTACGAAGTTCGCCGAGTCAGGTAGCACTATTATATAAAGAGGTAAAGTTTGTGAATTGTGACGTTGTAGGGGTAATCTCTGGATCTACTGAATCGATTAAAAAAAATTTTAGCTATAAAAATATATATCAACATATAACAAGGGCTATTTATCAACATGTAACAAGGGCTATTTATCAACTTAGTTCTAGAACATCTCTTAGAGAAAAATTTAAAGAAATCGGGATTTTGACTGTTGCTTCTCAATTCATTTATAATTGCATACTTTTTGTTCAAAGCAATATTAACTATTATCTAAAACACAGTGACATACATTCTTTTAATACAAGGAATAAAAATAAACTCAAGATACCAAATTACAGGTTACAGAAGGTTCATAAATCATTTATGGGTCAAGGTATACATTTCTATAATAAGATTCCTATTGATATCCTTGATTTGCCTCCTCATAAATATAAAATACACATTAAGAATTGTTTACTTAAGAAAGGATATTATACTGTCAATCAATATTTGAATGATAAAACGGCCTGGTTGTAATTTTACCTGTAGATTTACCCAGCCTTAGAAAGAGTTTTGAAGAGAACCTTGCACTTACTCCCTTTCATATACTTGTTCATTTTGTTTTGAAAATTGTTTCTTGCTATTTTGGGACTTATCTTTGCACTTATTATTAGTAAATTCATTGATTGTTACATATTTGACATTATGTGATGGAAGTTGACCTCAACACATGTTTGCAAGTTTGATGTCAACTTTCAATTGGACGACACTGTATGAAATAAAACAGGGAGAAAAAAGCAGCCCTTGCTGAGTTTCTTGCCGGTTCTTCTCAGTACAAGGTCTCCCGCCGTAGTTTTGCGAACCGATGGCGTAGCTTTTCGACATTCACAAGTGCTTGTAACAGCCTAGACTGAATAAACGTTATTGAATTTTTTGAATTTTTGAAAAGCTACGTCATTTGTAAGTGTCGTTATATTAGAACAAAAACTATAGTTTCACCGAAGCGAAGCGAGGGCGGGCCACTAGTTAGAGGTAAGACTAATGCTTAAACTGTCTCAGGAATCCAATGGATGCGGACAGACTTATTTAACGGTATTTTAATAATTGGGGGAGGCATATAATCAGTAACGGGTGTCTTTCAGCTAGGACGACGAAGTCGAATATAGTCATATTTTTTGTGAGGAGATAGTAAAAGATTGTCAACGGACAAATTCATTACTGAAACGAAATACAGAAAACAAAACGCTAGGAATTGTTTCCATGATCCAGTTTATCATTAAGTATCAATGTATCAATATAATGCTTCTACTTTGTTGACGTATTATATATGTGTTAATTAACAGTAGCTATGGGCATTGGAATGTATTAACTGTACAGCTACTTGCATTAATAAATTCGCGCATTTGAATTTTTATAGCCTACTCCTGTATTTGGTAAAATAGACTCAGACGTGCCAAAACCTACACCACATGCGTTATTTGTATGATTAAATTTTTTTTTGAATTGTTAATATATTGTTGTTACAGACTTTTACCTGAAGGTACAGACAATTACGTTAGTGAAGATGGTAAAAAGTATTACAGGAATCTTTTCGAAGGTCTCTTAAAAGCTAATATCACCCCCATGGTTACACTGTTTCACTGGGACCTGCCTACACCTTTGATGGATCTTGGTGGATGGACAAATCCAAAAATTGTAGATTTTTTCGAAGATTACGCAAGAGTTGCGTTTAATTTGTTTGGTGATATAGTTAAATTATGGACTACTATTAATGAGCCTCATCAGCATTGTGCTAATGTGAGTAAATTGTTAGAAACATACCTAATATTATTTAATGCTCGCAGTGACATTTAGGAATCCTAAGAGCTTGTTAATGGACAGGTTATCGTTGAGCAACTTTTTAAATTAAAGTAATTGCATAGAACAGTAGTACACATAGGTATGTCTTTAAGATAATAATGGCCGTAAACAGTGTCACGCAGTGTTAGCATTAAAACAGTTATTTCCACAGATCAAAAATATTAACAGAAAACATTAATTTGAAAATTTATAAAAGTTAAGCAGTTATAAAAAGAATTTCATTTCATTTTAGATTAGAGTCAATAGGCTGTTAATTCACCAGTATAAGTCCCGCGGTCACTAACTTTAAGACCCAATCAATGTCAGATGTCACTGTCGAGTGGTTAATATGCTGTTAATTGCTAATTGCGTGAACTTTTGGTGCTCCATCTGCCCACAAGAGTACAGTATTATTATTTATAGCTAAAGCTATTTTCAATTAGGCTCAAAATGTTATATCAACAGTAGTAGCAGCAGTTTAATATTAAGATGCCATTTCTGTTCTTTGTTCTTTTCTTTCAGAACTTAAAGATCCGTTCCATTTAAAATTTTGTGGTTATTCTACAGATATTCAAGAGATATAACGTATTTTTAAAATGTTCTGTTTTCATTGTATTCGTATATTGATGCCCAAGAGCCTTGCAATCGTGCAATTTTATTTTTCGGTTCAATTTCAACGACTACTGCTATGCAGCTGTTGTTATTGATCTATATAAATGTCGCATCGAAGTGGGAATTTTACTTTTTATTTGTCGTATAATTTAAAAATACAATATTAGGTATATTGTGTTCTAAAAATATCCGATAAGTACTTTACAGTTAATGTTAAGATGATATAACAAAGACAGAAGCTACCATTTCTGGGAAACAGCCATCTAAAAGAAAATAAGACGACCGAATTTATGAATATTTTTAGACAGGTAATCTTTATTTCAGTTACCTGCCACACACAATCATGTCGATACAAGAGAAAATTACAGTAAATAAAAACGTCGAAACACTATGTTATGTCAAAAAGTAGAAAAAAACAAAGGTTAATTCATTCATTTCCCTAGTCAAGGCTTGTAACAAATGAACGAAGATATTTCAATAGAATACAATAGCTGTAGATTACAATGAATTACTTCGTATATGTTGAAACATATCAGACTTCAGAAGCATGTTGCGGTTCAAAACTTGAATTCAACTCGCTATCTTGAATCTAGTTCCTTGATGCTGTTCAAACTAGTGCTTTCACTCGGAACTAAAGTAGTTTAGTACACAATGTGTATATAATATCAAATATTGACAACTTGCTTTGTGTAGAACTAAGTACATTCTGATAAACTTTTACCGCATACTGAACAGTTTGAGTAATGACACTATAATATATCGGGCGTAAACCGATTGTTTAATTCTAAGTTGTTTATACTCACATCATATGGTAAATTTGATTAAAATTCTTGTCTATAAATAAATTAGAAAGAAACTCTATTACATTTTTTATAGTAGGCTTTTAACGGCTAGATAATTAAATCTAAAGATTTCTTATTCCTAGAAAAAATCCTCGCGTTCCATTAGAGTACCAAAGTGTAAAAAAATGCTTTCTTGTAACTTTAAAGATTATTCGATGCATTTCTTAATATTGCATTGGTTTTATGAAAATTGAATTGTCCCGAATCTTTTTTTTAATTAAATCTTACTATTTACCTAATCTTTTCTAGGGATATGGAAATATTTTTTTCGTACCGGCACTGGATGCACATGGCATTGGGGAGTATTTGTGTACACACTATATATTATTGGCTCACGCACGTGCTTACCATCTATACCACAGTCAGTTCGGGCCTCATCAACATGGTATGAACTTATTTTTCACATTGCAGATAAGTGAGAAGCTGTTCATTTTTTTTTTAAATTCGATGTATTTTTATTAATAATGTTTTACTAATATTTAGGAAAAATTGGAATTACCTTGGACTCTTTTGGAGCCAAACCCAAAAATGAATCAAACCCATACGATCACGTGGCTGTGGAGCAATATTTACAAATGCATGTAAGTTATTTTGTTTTAGATATGCATTTTTCATAATTTGATTTTTTTTTTGAAAAGTTCATCGAAGGTTAATATTTTTTTATCATGGGTTTTAGTAATTCACTAACACCAATCGTTTGTGATATCAGAGTTTTTTTAACGATACTTTTCCTTGTTGTTGATGATGTTATTTTAACAAATACATGTTGTTTTTCTATTAGCTCGGCCTCTACGCTCATCCAATTTTCTCAAGCACTGGGGACTACCCGGAATTCGTGCGTAAAAGAGTCGACTACATGAGCAGGGATCAAGGTTACACGCGTTCTCGTCTGCCGTACTTTACTACAGAAGAGGTTAGTGTGGTTTTGTTGATAAACAGTGAACTCGAACACAACTACTGACTAAGACTTAGCCAGATGGTAGGCATAATATTATTAAGAGTTCGGGTAATACTTGAAAAGCACTTACTCCTGAAAAAGATCAACCCGGATAGGGAAAGGTGCGGGTTCGAATCCTATCTGAAACCTGGAAGCAGTGGAGTTTTTAATTATTTTTTTTTTTCTTTAAAACTGTTGATGAGTCATAATTTTGCTGTGTTTCAGATAGCGATGCTAAAAGGGAGCTCTGATTTCTTTGGGCTAAATCATTATACAACTTATTTGATTAGCCATTGTTCAGGGAACAAAGCGTGGAAAGTGCCGTCAATGGACCATGATACTGGAGTATGTATGGAGCAACATCCAGCCTGGGTGAAACCTGGCGCCGATTGGTTCACAGTAAGTACCTTTTAAAAGCTTTCTAGTGTCTTTACCTATACTAAAGTTTCCAGAGCTCCATGGGATAGAAGTCTGTTTTATCAGAGTAGGTTAGTAACGCGCGAGTGACAGTCTAGTATCGCAAGGGTCTTTGAAGATGGTGTTTCTCCCGCCTTTCCCTTCCCTTCAAAGAACCACACGCGCTGGCCTACGTTGTCACCGATTGGCCACTATTTCAATGAGCACAAAGAAATTTGGAAAATAATTTATTTGTCGCACTATCCTTAAATGGAATGCTGTGCCTGCTCACGTGTTCCCTTTCTCCTACAACCCAGTATCCTTTAAAAGACGCGATAAGGAGCAATAAGCAGGCCGGCAAGTTGAGGATGACTGGTCTAGCAGGTAACACTGCTGTACCTGTCTTCACGTCTGGACTCCACCATCACCTAACATCAGGTGGGGTGGTCATATACTGGACCTATATATAAAAAATGGTGTTCATAGGATGCTCTTTTATCATTTTTTAACTGAAAATAATCAGGGGCCACCGCAAAATGTTTTTTCATGTCAAAGGGTGGCAAACATCCATATTCTATAATGATGACCCCCTTGATGATGCCACTTTATTCTAAAGATGCTAGCAAAACCAGAGTAGTAGAGATGCAACATTTTTGTACTTGTTATTTAAAGAGTTCGTGTGTTCACGACTGGAAATTTTCTACCTTATTGTATATTTTTATTAATGAATGCATAATCTATTTCTACAAACAACGTATTATTATCAGATATTGTAAACTCGTTATTTCTATTTTGTTTTATGGTATGGTTCTCATAATAACAATATATTATATTGTTACGTGTCTGAATGGGGTTCAAAATTAAATGCCAGTTTATCACACTTGACAGTTCTTTATTCACCACGCAGTTCACACAGTTAACGCACAATGTTAATCACAATACACTCACTAAACACTGCACTACACTATACAAGTCTTTAAACAATTGCACTTGAACACTTTACTTATAGTTTCGAATTTACTTACTTACTATATTTACTTATAAGTTTCGAATTTCGTTTTTGGTTTTGTTTAGAGAGCGTTTGTGACAATATATTACTTGTAACAAATATATTCATGAATTTAAAATTTTAACTAATATATGTAAATTTTTAGGTTGATGAAATAAATGCAATTTATTTCACTGAGTCACTTGGGTAATCGGAATTTCCAATTGAACTGGGTTTTGTTATTTGTTTATGCTAAAGCTCTATATCCTTATTGCAATTTCAGTTTATTAGTTCGCACTTACTTGCAAGGATAACAACGAATTGGGCAACAAACCAGTCACGGCAACAGGCGAACTTGGGTCAATACCCGATTAAATTTACCAATTTTTGGTATGCATAACTAAGCAGATACCTGCAATACCAACTAAAATTCACAACCCGGCCACACTATATGAACGAAGATTACACAAAAAAAATAGTTGCAATTTTTCTACCCAATCGGAAGTAATTAAGTAGTTCCAGTTTTCAGGGAGATCCATAAACATAATTGTCTTAAACATTACACAAGCGATAAAATTTCCTAAACATAAAACCTTTCAGATTTTAACACGAACTACAACAAGCAGTTTTTAACATGGTATTATTTTTTTAAACATATTATAAGTAATAACAATCGATTTCTTTGTACGCAGATCTATCCTCCGGGTTTCCGGAAAATACTCAACTACATAAAGAATAATTATGGCAATGTGCCAATTATAGTGACCGAGAACGGATTGTGCGATTACGGAGGGCTCGAGGACTTCGTAAGAGTATCATATTTCAACAAATATCTGTACCAGCTACTTCTCGCTGTGAATATAGACCGATGTAACGTCATAGGCTACTTCGCCTGGACGCTAATGGATGACTTCGAATGGAACGATGGCTATGTGTGAGTAAAGAAAATTAATTAATACCAATGAATCACGTTTGCGAACTAAACAAAGAGGCGATACGTCTTATATTTTGATGTATCCTAAGATGATTGGTTAATTAAAATGACATAGGTACCTAGTGTTATAATATGCAAAAAGTAATTGAAGTTTCGTGAGAAAAATGATTTCACTATCCTTTTAACCATGTAACTAGTTGTGGGAATGAGATGTTACAAAGTTGTCAACTTTAATCTGGCTCTTTATTAGATTCCTCTAGATCAGTTCAGGTATTAACTTGTTGTACAATAGTAGACGAAGTATACAAAATTATAAACCACACCAAAATGTCAAATGACGAACTTATCATAACATCATCAAAATAGTATTTGGCTTTATAAGATGTTTTATTTATTTTAAGAAATTTTCTATTTCAATCATACAATATAATTATTACCATTGGACGTTTGCCAGATACGAGTTTTTGTAAAAACTCAGTTTCTTTTTTGTTTTGAAACTTGAATTACTATCTTGCTTCATAGTACGAGTAAACACGCTTTAAATTTCTTTTACACATACATTATGTGAAATATGACATCATCAACTTTACTACCATCACGTGAATATAGTGCTAAGATAAAAATATATTCCAAACCTTTAAACCCTAATAGAATCTCACATAATATTATGATAAATAAGAGACACAAGTGGCCAGGTTACTTTTTCCTTATGAATCTCATCATACCCTTTTCCTTAAATGTCAATTCGTTACTGGGTTGAGATACCGGACTTAATCGTGTCAATTACCGGTTATAATTTGAAATAACACATTACATAGAGACTATTTAAAAAACCCACCATAATTAACAGCTATTATCATATCGAATATTTTTGGTTTTTCCGTCTTATATTTAATAACAACTATATATTGTTTATCATAATGAAATTTTGTTTAGATAACGAGATTTCGTCATTGTAAGAGTAATAATTGATCTATAAATATTTATTACGAAATAACTAACGTCGTGTCTCACGATCAATTGTTGCAATTAAATACAATTATTCGAATTGCAAACAATGTTCTAGCAAAAGTTATCAGTAGTACGAGTATTTCTTTAATAAATATCTTAACAAAGTTTCAGTATTTGACCAGAAGCTTGTTGAAATTGTTGCCTTAATTATTTAGTAATTTGTCTCCATTTGCTAATTCAGATTAAGTTCCCAAACATTTATTTAACACAGAATATAGAACCATTCATTTTGAAACTTTTTGATGAACCTTGTTATAATGTAACCTATTTGGTCAATGACCTCTGCTGACACGTCAAGAATATTCGCTCTTTATTTTTGGACAAAGGAGATTGCTCAAATTGGCCTAAATGTACAAAAAATATTAACATACACGATAATTCTTGGCGTAATTTATAATTTAATTTACAGTCATTTTATTTCAACGGACACCTTTGTATAATATATTTACTTTAAAAACGACTTTTAATTTTACCGGTTTGGAAAACATACGAATCATTTTTAATGGCTATGGGTGTAGTAACATTCAGCCAAAGACTGATCGAAGTTGGTTATATAACATAAAAACAAATCTATTTCGTAAAGATCGATAAAATAAATCATTTTTTTTATTACACTGTGGTATTAATATCCACAACTGTATTATCATTTTCACTAGATACAAATGTGCTCAGACAATTATTATAGATGGTAGGCGACATCATAAAGTCTATTGCCATACATTTTTCGCCAAACACCTCCATAAACACATTATAATCTGTATATATGTTAGACTTTAAGGTATCTATCTATCTATGGGCCTACGTTCCCTGACTATAAATTAATAAAATTATAAGGTGTGATACACTAAAAATCTAAAATATGGTTATCTTAAAAACATAACAAAATAATGAAGCTACTGAATATATGGCTATAGAACCTAAATCTCTTAGCTTTCTTTGGTTAACGAGAGTTTAAAAATTGTCTCTAATCTGTGGCTCATTCACAATCATCACACAGTTTCTGTCACAGAGTACTTTATTATAACCGGAAATGACCTGATTATAAAAGTTACTCTTATGCATTAACTTTAAAAATAGGCAACTATCTGTTAATGTACATGCCTTATATACCTGAATCTAATCCATAATTTCGGTACTTGGCTTGATTTCCCTAGTTTACTACATAACTTATTTGTTTTTTATTATTTTAATATGTTCAGTGTATACGGTTTATAGAAGTTCCCAGGGGTGTCCGTCAATAATATTGGTTTCTACAGTAATTTATATATAATTTCGAATCTAGGAAACAATTTTTCATGATTATTGGTCTTTAGGCCAAACATGTATGGAAGCTGAGCAATCTCCTTTTCTTTCTGTTTTCTTTTAGTGTTTGGACCCTGAAGGAAAGTCCTGAAGTCTTCATTCATCACTATTCGAGGAAATCTGAGATCTATTTTGACGATTTTTTTTTTGTTATAAAACCACTCATTTAGTTATTTGGCACCAAGAGCAGAGAAATCATAATTGCTAAGCCACAGAATATTGATCAAAATTGCTTGTAAATTCACTTACTCTCCATAATGATATAAATACATATTTCCAGTAAATAAAAACAAAATACTCACAATTCTGAGAATTCTGCTAACGCATTTGTGGCGGTCTTGCTTGACATAAGCAATTTTATCAAATTTATTTAGGGAAAGGCGAGGTCTGACCAAGTCTGCCAAAATAAAGGAATTAGCCGTAGCTGGCACAGAATAACGTGACCGGTTTACGAACGCGACAAAACAAAAGGAACGAATGATATGAACAAAATAGAAATTACTTTTGAGCCAGAAAAGTTCGGGCAATTTCCATAAATTCAAAGCGAACCGATGTAGCTTGGTTCATTACAAATCAAACGGAGGGATCACAAAAAATAACTTTTTTGTGAAGTCATGTTATAACATAATGATAGGATTGTCAACTTATTCGCTATTGGATTTTTTATGGATTTAATAATTCTTGCATCAGCACGTTCTGCATTAATTACACTAATCGAATAACCCGTCTTACATTGTTATTATTAGTCATGTTTTGCTTTTTCTCTTAAATGTGATTATTCAATAAAATAAAATGAAAGTAAGATTATAGAAAAGACAATGTTACCTACAAACATAATTATTTATTTTGTTTGTTTCAGAACTAAATTCGGACTATTTCATGTGGATTACGAGAGCCCAGATCGTACCAGAACACCTAAACTCTCCGCTGCAAACTATGGACAGATAGTACGAACGCGACAAATAGACTTTGATTTTATCAAACCGCCGACAAAATACCAACCACAATCAAACAGATTGTAGACAAACTAGGTATAAAAACACAGTCCGTATGTTTTCGATAGTAGGTATCACTAAAAATGTGTTTAGCACTGGGTCAAATGAATAGACGCTTGCTTGTTCTAGGTAGGTATAACGTGAAAAATGGGTACATAATGAAGAAAACCTAAATTTGCATTTGAAAGCTATGTGATTATTAGCTTAGGACGAAAATGGATTTATGTTTTTACAAATACCGATATTTTTCTGCCGTTCGTTTGGAAAGCCAAATCTTTTTGAATAAATAGTTCTTTATTTCGAGCATTTCCAAAAAATACGATGCACTTTATTAAAAATATCTAGAAGGAAAGTTGCAGCCATGTTTTCCGCGTGGTCGCTGATTAATTACATTTTCCCAACTAGGATGATGTTTCTGTACTGTTCTTTTGCAATAGTTCATTGCCTTAATAATTTAATGTCTACTGCAGCTGAATACCATATCGGGATGTCGGTGTATGCAACATCGCCTAGCTTTTTAGAAGCAACTTAGATTTAAATACTTATAGAATCAAAAGATCGAACGAACAAGAGGATAAAGATGATATTTGAGGAACACAGATGTGGATGATCGCCGCTTAGAACAGAACAGAGAAGTAGTAAGAGAAATTGTAAGTAAGGAAGTATATAAGATCACCAGAAGATAAAATTCCTTGAAATAAATAAAAAGGAGAATGACGGTCTTTTCTAATTTGAAATATAAACAGCAACAAAGTAATAGAGACTGGACTGAAAAGTTGAGCCAATAAAGAACGACAGATGGTGATTGATACGAAAAAAGAATACTTAACTGCATCCAGGAAATGATGCAGGAACAGAAGATAACGAGTGCCAAATTTTACAAATTATGTCGAATGTGGGTACCACTTTTGTGATGAAACTAAAAATGAACAAGGTAGTCAATCGTTTCAATTAGCGACTTTTTTTTGTTTTATGTGATATTATATTTTTCAAAGAATTGACATTTTATTAAAACTGGTATTTAATCTTTTCCAAATTTCTGAGAAGTATTTTATTTTAAATAACAGTGCAGCATTTATACATCGAAATATTTCATAAAAACTCTTGCCCATATATAAAACTAACTTATTTTGCATTTTTTTATGTTAAAAGGGTGAGAAACAAATATATGGCTCGCTTGAGTTTAAGCGGCCACCGCAGCCTATAGTCCAGTCAAATTACGGAAAAAAAGGGCTAAAAAAACATGAGCGAGCACAGTTTGGGGATTTTGAGGATCGATAGGGGGGTGCATCCTGAGCTTAAGTTCCAATTTGAGGGGCTGTACTGAGGTCAGCTCAAGGTCATTTCGATGCAAACGCGTTTAATTCGATATCTCGAGAAATATCAGTGTTAGCCAAAAAATTATAGAGACCTTTTTTCTTCTAAATGAAATTTATTAACTTTTTTATTTAAAACTTTTTTTTGTAACATCAATATTTTTTAAGTTATTACTCCCGCAAGGCAAAAATTTCATTTTTTTCCCTATTTTTCGTCGTTTTCTCCCCAAACATTCAATTTTATTGAATTTTACCGATCATCAACGTGTATATCTTTTAATTATGCACAATTTTGTTCTTAAACTTTTTTCTGTAACTTCAATACCTTCGGAGTTATATATTATTTTACCGAGCGAAATTCGAATTTTATAACCTATTTTTTGTATCAATAAATGTGTGAAACAGTTTTAATTGTTAATTTACTTGTTACCCAAACACACCCATAAATTTACCCAAATTAAATACCCAATTTTTAAATAGTTTAATCGATTTACCCTTTTATATTGCGACAGTGGCGTGGATTTCGCTCGGTAAAATAATATATAACTCCGAAGGTATTGAAGTTACAGAAAAAAGTTTAAGAACAAAATTGTGCATAATTAAAAGATATACACGTTGATGATCGGTAAAATTCAATAAAATTGAATGTTTGGGGAGAAAACGACGAAAAATAGGGAAAAAAATGAAATTTTTGCCTTGCGGGAGTAATAACTTAAAAAATATTAATGTTACAAAAAAAGTTTTAAATAAAAAAGTTAATAAATTTCATTTAGAAGAAAAAAGGTCTCTATAATTTTTTGGCTAACACTGATATTTCTCGAGATATCGAATTAAACGCGTTTGCATCGAAATGACCTTGAGCTGACCTCAGTACAGCCCCTCAAATTGGAACTTAAGCTCAGGATGCACCCCCCTAACGATCCTCAAAATCCCCAAACTGTGTTCGCTCATGTTTATTTGATTCCGTAATTTGACTGGACTACTATAGACGCTTACAATTAATAAAAAAAATGGCTGAGGAGGCAACTGGCCCCCGGTCCAAGGCTCACATTACACGAAGTAGGAACACTAGTGGGTGGGCTAGAATACCACGAGAAAAAAATATCCTAGTCAAATCCATTGGGAGTTCATTTAATTAAATTTAAAATAAGGAGTGAAATAAAAGAAATATTTACTTTTTTACTTAAACTTATGCTCGTACTATATTATGATTACTTTTCTGTTCTAAGGAAAATAATAATTATTATTACAATTAAAGAGAATCATAAAAATGAAATATTTTATTAAAGTATGATTACTGTTTTAAAGAAAATCAGCATTATTTTTCAAAAAAAAAAATCAACAATGCATGTGGCATGTGTTTCTGAAAAACGATTGATAAATTTTTCAATACAATGCCGGAGAGAAATTTCTTTTGCTCACATACGTACTGTACCATTTTTTTATGTCTTCTTATAGTTCAAATTTGTTTTCTGTTTATAAATAAATAGTATAAATGGTTATTTTTTATATAATTCAAAATAATAGTTTGTCTTTGTATAGTCTGTCCAATAAAAGTGCTATGTTTAGCTTGGACTGTTTTTTTTATTGAAGACTTTGATCAGGCGATGATCGCTTCAGATTAAGCTTTTAGTCAGTAAGAGTCCTTGCAGCTATACGGTGTCCATGAAGATTTCACACCTGGGTGGAAACAAAAAAAAATCGGCGTTTATCATTAGTATTTAAAAATATAATTTTGGTTTTAGTTTGAATTTTATTTAGGTATTTTAGTTCAGATACATATATTGATATTAATTGGTTTTTCTAATTTCCGATATAGAAAATAAAGAATCCTGTTCAAATATATTGTGGTATCTACAGGCAACTACGGCACCATACACTGCGCGTGGCACAACATGCACTTGACCGATTCATTTAAATTTAATTAAATGAATTCCCAATGAGTCGATTTAAGTACATTTTTTACCATGGTATTCTGGCCCACACATTCGGCCAAATTTTCCATTAGTGTTCCTTTACTCCGTGTAATGTGGGCCGCGGACCAGAGACCAGTTGCCTCCTAACCAAAAAAAAATATCACTCGCGCCAATGCCCACTCTGACCCAATATCCTACCCCTTGTAGTCCTACAACCTTATTTACCGACAGAAACATAACACCACCATAAGGTAGGTAGTGCTATTTACTGTGATCTTCTGTAAGGTGGAAGTTGCTTCCCCAGACGGGCAGATTGGTGGTCCAATTCGAGCTTATACCATACCATACTTATGCATTTACAGTTCATATTAGGTATAACCAAGCTTGTGATTGCTATAACAACTGTTGATGCTATCAACCGCAACCGCATCTTTTATAACGAATCACATGGTATTCCTAAAGCAAGTATATAATGCATAAATGAAAATTCATAATGCACCATGTGGTATTAGTGTAGGCAAATTCTATTGATATAATATTATGTCGATATCGTTGATTACCATTAGCTTTTCTGTTTCATTTGCGTATACTGTATCTACAAACTGCGATAATTAAGTAACATTGAACTATCATACAAACGCTGTTGAACGTCAACACGTCTCAAATATTCCTGGTCATTGATAGGACAGAGGCACAACCTTGCCGCAAAACCGCACCACAACTTTATTATTACAATCGCTGCCCAGCGTGGTGAAAGCCATGCTGAAGAGCGACAGGTCCTGATAGGCAGTGATGCCCTATTGCAAAAAGATCATCTCGCAGAAGGAGGCTGCGGAGAGAGCCCGAGATGAACAGGCCCTCGCAGGCTCTCTTCGCAACAGAAGAGGAAGCAATGGAAGAGGTAGGCGCAGGATAGCTCATCTCCTGCCACCCTGACACAGCGGGAGGCCCTATACAGTGCATTGGGGAGGAAAGGGTCCTTATTGGGGCCAGGGGAGGCCGAGCCACGTTGGGGATCTGATTAGGGAAACGGCCCTTTTCAGGGCCAGAGTGGAAGTACCATATGCTCAAAATGCACGGAAGAACATTGAAAACACCTAGATCAGATCAAACTTTATAAAGACGAGTATTTTCAGTCAAATTGCAATTTAAGTGACAAAAAAATGTGTTGTTGCTGGTGCGTATTATCCGCACTTCGAAGTGGTTCTTACTTCATATTTCATACAGTGTAGTGACTCGTGACTGGTCGACCTTTTAACGATATCGAAACAGGAACGAATAATTTGTGGGCATTTTTCTTCTACGACGAATTCCAAAGTTCATAAAAGTTATTTTTATAGTTCCGTACCTAAGGTATCAAATTGTATTGTTTGTTATTTTTCAATTACATTACTATACACCGCTGTCTGTCAATCTTTACGTGGGTTGTAAATAATTATGAATAGGTGAATAGGTAGTGAGTTGAAATTTTCGCAGGTTATATATCAGTATTGATAAAAGAATAGAAAATACCGGCCAACAAACCTGTAGGTATATTTTAGTAATTATTAAAAACTATTTTTTATTATATGATGTAACTAAAAATTTACGGTTTTCGTAATTTTTCCTTTATAAGACGTTACTTCGTACTAAATTTCAAGATTCTAAGTTCACGGGAAGTACCCTGTAGGTTTTGATTCCCGTGGGAGTTTCGAAAATTTGCGGAAATTTGCGGCATAAACGGCTGTATATTTTGACTGCTTTGGCTTAGAAGTTTGATTTAATCACAGCTCCAAGGGACAGTAGATACTCAGGGTATGGGATATGAATTTCAGTGTGATACCTCCACGCATTCCTGAGAAAAACGGTGTGATCCTATAAGTGTTCCGTTTTTTTTTAAGGTACGGGACCCTAAAAATGAGGGCTACAGTCTTTGTCTTACCAGATGGCGCCACTGTTGAGTGTCCTGAAGTGTAGCTTTCAAAGTTCGTTAATACGCGCGTGAAATCAAAGTTCAGATTTAAATCATATTTTTATACAAAAGAATGGTATCGGAAACATAAGCCGCCATGTCACAGTGTCGCGCAGCTCCCTTTTGTTCGGAAAAAAGGAGGACATAATATTTTTTCTTAGCTCCGCTTTTATATCACTGACATACATTGATACGTTACTCATATTTGCCCTAATTAATCTGAGTTATTATCAAATATGTACAATATTTTAATTAGGAATAAACTCGCGTAGTCAACGCACAAGCAATAAAATTTAACATTTCGGAGACCTCACGCTACACAAGTGCCTCTAGCGGCGGATTTATGCGCGATAGCCCTCATTAAACAGTGAAACAATCGCATATCAACAAGCCTCCGTGGCTTAGTGATAGATATCCCCCTCAGGTTCGAGTGGTCTTGAGGCTCCAGACGGAGATGGCATCCGCCTGGAATACCTCTAGAGGCACTCGACAATTCTCGGCTTGAGGTCCCCTTAGGATC